CCGTTTTTCGTTGCTCCCTTTCGGAAACTATGCTATCAATAAATAAATGAATAGATGAACAAATCGATGAAGAAATCGAATGAATAGATAAATTTAGGCTTATATTCGGTTATATGCAAGAAAATAATTCATCAAATATGCAAATAAGCGCTATTCCCAAAAGGGTTATTATATTACTACTTGTATTATCAATTGATTTTTCAACTCTATTCAAAGCATTTCAATAAATTTGCATAAATTATGCTATATTTCAATATAATTGTTATGGTATAACGAATTGTACAAAATAAGGATTTATTTAAAACTATTCATAATACAATTAATAATTTTAAATTTAATCAAGTTGAAAACTTTTCTTTTGTTTGTTTATTTTCAAAATCAATCAATTGTAAAAATTTTTCAAAAAAAAAAAAGAAAAACAATGAGAAGTAAATGAAAAAACTAAAATTGGTAACTTAATAATAGTCATGATTTAGAAATGGAAAATTGCTAAATTTTATAAGAAATAAAAATAAAAATATATTTGAGATATAATTCAAATTAATTTAATAATTGAAGATGAAAAATGCATTTTTTTGCACCTAAAATTAAAAAAAGCTAAATCTAAAAAAATAAAAGAAAATATTAGTTGTGAAACGGAAAATATTTAAAATGTCCATAAAAAGCAAAAAAAAAGATGAATAAGGTTAATTTAAAGTCCTGGGTAATTTTGAGATTTTAAAATTTCACAAAGCGACAATATTGGTTGTATTTATCATACATTATCACAATGATAGGTAATTTATATTACAATGATAAATTTTATCGCCATATCAATCATCCTGAAAAAAAAGATGAGAAAAAAAGAAGGAATACTGAGGGCTGAAACCAGACAGGCTGAAACGAATGTTCAAAATCGTCATTATTTACATTCTAATTGGATGATATGAGAAAGAAAAAGAAAGGAAAAAAAAAGTGAAAAATCCTATTTCAATGGTTTATATTTAATCAAATATTCGCATACCAATGATAAATTCAATTTCTATTTCTTTTCATAACAGACTACGAAAATTTTTCGCCGTTCTCTTCAAAGGAAGTTTAAAATGGAATTTTGAGCAGTATTAAAGGGGAAAAAAGAAGAAAAATTCATTGCAATTTGTAAAATTTTGGTTTACTATTTGAGCACAAAGATTGTGTTGAAACTTTTCATTATAAATCATTATTTCATCATTTTTTTTTCGCAAATAAATTTTGCAATAAAATTAAATAGAGTTAAATGAAATAGATGTGAAAGTTATTTAATTTTCTTCTACAAGTAAAAAATGTTTCCAAAAGGTGGAAAATAAAACTGAGTGCATTTGGAATCAAATTTTGTCATGAATTAAATTAATGAAAATTTAAGCAACATTTGGTCAAAATCCAAAACACAAATTTCATTCGATAATATGAGAAAATTAACAAATTGCCGAAACATATTTCCTCAAATCCTTTTACTTATCCTTCATAAAATATTGAAATTTATTTGTTTTCACTAGAAAAAATTCCTGCTGACATCCAACAGATATGTAAAAAAGATTTTTTTTCCTTTTTTTTTTTTAAAGGAAATTTTGGTGACCTAGAAGGACATGTGAATGAAACACGGTCAAAATTTGCATATCGAATCTGTAAAAATGATTATCCATGAACTTCGCAGCAGAACATTCATTTCAAATGATTTTATGTCCCTTGTAATTTAGTAATTGACCATTGATCTGCTCGTGATAAAATTTCGTCTGATCACAAAATCTTACAAATGATCATTTCTTATTCATTCCACATTTTTCAGTCTCATAATTTGTAAATTTTGCGCATGAACAGCTGTTCTTTAGCAAATATCCGGGAAAATAATCGGTGAGAAATTCGGAATTCAGAATTTGGAACACCAAGAGGGACAAAATTTGAGCACTTTCAAAATCTATCGTGGGAAATATTTGCTGTTATTCGACAGCTAATTAAAAAAAACGAGAATTATTTGCTAGAAGAATGTTCAGTGGAAAAAAAAAATTCTCGAAGAGTTTTAAATTTTTCGTCAAATTTTTTCTACGAATTTCAGCAATAAGTATTCTTTTTTTCAACTTAAACTTTCATTTCAGCTTTAAAGTTTGTGAGACCGGGAATGACTAATTTTTAACCGAGAATGATTTAATAACTGGGAATGATTCATTTTTTATTGACACAATTTATTTTTAATTAAAAATGACTTATTTCGTGAGGAAAAAAATTTGAATTAGACCGATAAATTTGGTAATTCTTTTTATTAAAAATAATTTTTTTGTTGCTAAAGTTTTTCCTTTTCTTACTTAAAAAAGTTCCAGCAAATCGATATTCTAAAAACTGAAAAAAAAATTAAATTTATCCGTTGATCTATGTTCATAATATTAATTGTTATATTCACATATGTATATATGTATAGCGATAAAATGATTTTGTATTAATGCTGATAAACATAAACAGATAAATATAAACATTAATGCGTATATTTTAGACTTTTTAAAAAAAAAAAGTAAAATGCAAGATTTAATGATTATAATGCATAATTATATCTATTAATTATATAATTTATTAATCTAACACTGTAATACACATAATTAATTACATAATTTATTAATCTAATACTGTAATACGCATAATTAATTACATAATATATCATATTACATAATTTATTACTTTTATATCAGTACAATAACAGTAATGGTAAGTTGACATGAAATAAATTTGGTAATAAATTGTTTTATAATTAATATATATATAATAACAAATTAATGCGAAATAATTAATTAATATTATAATACATTACATTAATATATAACAATAAAAAGCAAAATCATAAATTGTTATGAATAATGACAATAAATTAATGCAAAATTTTATGAAATATGCAAAATTTTGCTATTTTTCTTATTATAAAATTTTTGCAGAAAATCAAAGAAACATATTTAAATTTCTCACAAAGAATTAAAAATCACAAAGGATTGTCATTGTCATCTGTGAAAGTTATAAAACAATCGTTTCATTAGTTTGCGAAAGTTTGTCAGTTAATTAGCATTTAACAAAAGAAATTTCAAAAAATTTGTCAGAATGCAATTAAAATTAACATTTCTCTTACAAAATTAAAATTTTCCAAATGCATTTTCGGTCAAAAATTTATATATTCGATTTTATTTTTTCAATCATAATTTAATAAATCTAGTTTATGCTAGAACTAATTAAATATTCCACTGGGAAAATTGGAAAAAAAACAACAAAGTTCTAATTTATCTTAATTAATGAAAAAAAAATAAATTAATTAAGGAAAGGATGGAAACAATTAGAATTTGCCATTCAGTGAATGTGTTTAAAGGATCGAAAGAAACTTTAGATAGAAAAATTATAAATTAAAAGGAAAAGTGTATGATTGATAAGGTTTGAAAATTGGTATGGTAAGGTAAAAGTTTAAAGGGTTTTAAACGTTTAAAGATCTAATTTAATGAACAAGAGAAAGGTTTAAAAGTCAGAAGAAGTAGTTCAAAATTTAGTCTTGCGCAATAATTAGGGTTAATTAATTCTTAAAATATAAATTGCACATTGATAACCTTTAAATAATGCAAATACTGCTCCAATAATAAAGAAATAATTCGGTTTTTTCAACTTCATGGTTTTTTTTTCTTAATTTTCTTATTTTGATATTATCATGTTTAATTCTATGTGTTGTGTCCGAACTCAGTTTTATCAATTGTTCCAATTTCTTCGAAAAAAAAAAGCTTTTTTCAAATACAATTTTTAATTTGAACAAAATTTGAAAAAAAAAAGAAAAACTTTTTCAAATGGTAGCAGTTGTTAGTTATGAAAGAATTAGAAAGTGAAAATTTTTATTCAATTTTCTTTTAAATACACAAATTAAGCAAACTTTACTCTTTGAAATATGAATTTTTTAGAAAAAAACGAAACAAAAATTGAAAGGTTAAATTTCACAAAATTTAATCTATAATTTTATAGCAGACAATGGAAAAGAAATGAAAAATTTAAGGGAAAATTTTGATAAAAAGACAATTGTGGAAGAAATTGCTATCTGTCATTTGGATGACAAATGGCAGTTTATTCAAATTTTGATCTTTCCTTAATTAGCGCAAGCATAGTTTGTTGTACTGTACGACAATTAAACAGGAAGGGCTTTTGGTACTTTAGAAATCTGCCAAAAGCAAAACTGTGAATATGAAAATATTGGAATAATTTACGATACTCACTATACCGTAATTATTGCACGTGGATGAAATATCCAAACAAATAATCGTTCAACAATTCATTTCGAATATGTACCAATATATTCCATTTATTAAGTAATCAGTTTATTCATTTATATTTTTTTTCTAAAAACCAATTTACATGTAAGTAATGATTGCAGCGATGCATTTTAAACTACAATAATTATACAAATGAATTTTTCACATTCTAATTAATATATATATATATATATATATATATATATATATATATATATATATATATATATATATATATATATATATATATATATATATATATA